GTTGTGACCAGTTGGCATGTGATGCTCACTCCTCCATGGCACCTGATCCAACCTCTTGAAGTTATGAAGTCCCTGTTTGCGCTGCTTTAAAGTTTGTATTGACTTATTAACTAAAATACTGTTCGTTAACTTCACCTCACTAATTTTTTTTTATATATAATGTGAATAATAATATTCTAGAGGTATCATTCATTGAAGATCGTATCTTTTAATTGAAGAATCTTTACAGATACACAGAACTAAGCAGGGAAAATAAAGTGAAGAAGAAATTTGTTAACTGATTAAAAGACTTACTTTCCATTACGAAAGCGAGGTATTCCTTGCATTGCTGACAACTGAAGTCTACACGCTTCATCATTCGTCCAACTGTGTTTCAGTAAAAAGTTAATTACAAGTTATCAGATATTTATACAGTTCAAATGAAAGTTTTAAAAAACTTAGTAAATTTGAAATCATTCTGATTTTGAATCTAAATATATAAAAATATTAACTTAACTGTTTGGAATCCATCTCATTCCACCAACAAATGCTTCCAAATTGTCAGAACGAAATCCTGTTTCATGAATATGAAAAATAACGCATATAACATTATTTAACTCAAAAAATATTTTATAACAACGAACTTGGCTACTTATCACAATGAGGGGGAAGTTTGTCACTCAAGTATCTTTAAGAATAAAGTTGTCAAAATATTTTCTTTTCTTTATCTTCATATGACATTATAAGTTAAGATACTAACTATATTACAAAATTTACAACGTACGCGGTCTAAGTACAATCATGTTTCATATTCATTGCAAACGTCGTTGTTATCGTCTGGGGGAATAATATTACAGGTGAAAGGAAAAGCAAGGATCAATTAAGGTCCAGGGTAATTTTGACACCTATTTCTGACCCTCGAGTAACATTTTTCTTCGATGTGAAGGAATGCAGAATAACAGTTTGCCTGGAGTCCAGGGGTTCGTAACATTTAATACTTATATAAGATTTTAAATTTACCTGGCATGCAGCATAGCCGCTTAGGGGCATTGATGTGTGCAACTATATACTCATAAAGAGTTTGCAAAGCTGAAATATTGATAAAATGAATTTTCACAAAAAGATAACTAAGGCTTTTATATTCAAATTTTCAAATAATTTTTTTTGTTCAATTTATAATGAATTTAAAAGTACATGTATACACACCTGTCGTTTTATGGTTGACACTCCAAAGTCTGAAAAGTGCTTTCGTATCTATAAGGGAAAATATTAATTAAAAAAAGAACATTTTTCATTTTATGTAAACCTGATGATAGGTTTTAATTCTTTTTTCCCCCTAAATTTCACTTACGTAGACACTCTGCAGTTCCTTCGACTGGTATCATCTTAAACAGATCTGAAATAATTAAAACGTAACGATGTAAACTTACATGTACGACAGGATCTCCCGTGATGATCATGGGAGATTCTTTTTATCCCATTTTTAATATTTCACAATCAATGTTTTACACAGTTTTTGTATATAAAGGACTCCACTTTATTGTCCCCCGCTTGAAAAGTGGGGGATATATATTAATTTGGGTCTGTCCGTCCGTCTTTCTGTCTGTCTGTAACGCTTTCTTTTCCATGCAATATCTTGAGAACCCTTTGAGCTTTCGCAATGAAATTTTGCATAGCAACTCCCTATGGACAAAAGAAGAACCCTATTGATTTTGAGGTCAAAAGGTCAAAGGTCATAAATTCGCAAATTCTGTCTGTTATAACACTTTCGTTTCCGCGGGATATCTCGAGAACCCTTTGAGCTTTTGCAATGAAATTTTACATAACAACTCCCTGTGGCCTAAGGAAGACCCCTATTGATTTTGAGGTCAAAAAGTTCAAGGTCGTAAATTTATACATTCTGTCTGTGTCTAACACTATCCTTTCCGGGCAATATTTCAAGAAGATTTTGAGATTTTGCAATGTAATTTTATACCAAAACTCCCTAGGACCTTCTCATCCCTCTCAAAGTGTCCCGCCCCGTTTGTTTTATTAGTACTTATTTATTACATGTCGCTATTTTTAGCACAGGGGCATGAGCAGAGTTATTACATATCAAACAGGTTCTCGGAGGACTTTATATTCTTATTACATCTATTAGAACTGTTTAGTAAAGGTTAAATTAGACACCATGCACTGTGTAAAATTTTGACAATATCGAACGTGAATATATACATGTATGTGACTTCATATTTGCATAATTATGATTTTTGCCAGTTTAAAGCGGTTCCGAGGTATAGTGGTAAGTCTCTCGCTTCACATGTGAGAGGTCCCGGAATCGAATCCCGGGCGATCCATTTTCTTTTTTTTTTCCGAAATACTTTTTTTTTTACTAAATAATAGTATTCAGCATGTGAAAAGAAAAAAATATAAGGTCTGGCTTGTACAAACTCATAAAATCATCATTACAGTGTGATAAATATTCCACATAAAAAAATCTTCTATACACATAACAAAGAATAAGCAATCAAATCTTTATATCCATATTGGCATATTTTATTTACTTTAGTATTCATGATACATTTAATAATTCTACAAATTCAGTCAGGGGGATCCGACCCCCCCCCCCCTCCCGAACTGCTTATGGTTTACTTTTTCCCTAAGCGGGGGACACAAATTCTCTGAATTAGCTTGTTTTACTTCATTAGGCTAACGCAAAACCCATTGTGACATCACAACTGCAGTGGGATACAAAACGATATCACATGAGCTATATCAATGGGATAAATCTAGATACAGTCTCGGGTCATAAGTATTCGTAAAAAAAACAAAATGGCGGCGATGTAAACAAAACTAGGTCACCTTAGTTTCATCAAATTTTTAACCTAACTGAATCTGTACCAATCTTAATATTTCGTAAGACAGTCTTTTGACTTGATCACTGCTTTAATTCTTCTTGGAATCGACTGGTATAGCCTTTGAATGAATTGAAGCGGGATGTTTTCCCAGGCCTGTCGAACGGCTACTGCAAGGTCATCGTTGGTCCTCAGGTTATGAACATTTATATTAAGTTCGTGTTTCATTTTTTTCCAGCAATTTTCGATAATATTTAAGTCAGGACTTTGGGCTGGCCATTCAAGTGTTGTTATTCCCTCTCTAGTCACGAAATCTTTCACTACTCTTGCTCTATGCACAGATGCATTGTCGTCTTGAAACATATACCGATTGTTAGGGAAATGCCTGGCTACAACAGGCCATAAATTGCTATTGATGATTTCAATATATTTTTCGGCATTAATTTTACCGTCAACAACATTTAAAGTATACCTACACCATAAGCTGTTATACATCCCCACACCATCAAATCAAGGCGCCGTCCAGAAGGGGGTGCAACACAACGGGCGTCCCATTCTTCGCCGTCCTTCCGCCACACATACACGCGTTGTTCTCCATCAATCATCACCTTACACTCATCACTGAATATTATTTTATTCCAAAATCCATCGACAGTTTCGTGTCTGTATTGTTTACACCAATTAATCGTTTTTAGCTCTACTGGTCAGAGACCAGAAGAGCTTATGCGATAGTAATGCGTCCGGCGTCCGTCCGTCCGTCTGTCTGTCTGTCTGTAAACAATTTTTCAAAATGCTACTCCTCCTACAGTTTTGGTCTGATTTCAATATAACTTGGCATACAGGTAGACTACACTAATATACATAATTCTGTGTATCGGTTTTTGATTTCGATGAACGGTGTTGCCGTGGTTACTAAAAATAGAAATTTCTGTGAAATTCTTTCAAAACACTACTCCTCCTACAGTTTTGGTCTAATTTCAGTATAACTTGGCACACAAGTAGACTACACTAAGATACATAATTCTGTGCATCGGTTTTTGATTTCGATGAACGGTGTTGCCATGGTTACTAAAAATAGAAATTTCTGTGAAATGCTTTCAAAATGCTACTCCTCCTACAGTTTTGGTCCGATTTCAATATAATTTGGCACACAAGTAGACTACACTAAGATACATAATTCTGTGCATTGGTTGCTGATTTTGATGAACGGTGTTGTCGTTGTTTCTAAAAATAGAAATTTCTGTGAAATGCTTTCAAAATGCTACTCCTCCTACAATTTGGGTACGATTTCAATATAACTTGGCACACAAGTAGACTGCAATAAGATACATAATTCTGTGCATTGGTTTCTGATTTTGATGAACGGTGTTGCCGTGGTTACTAAAAATAGAAATTTCTGTGAAATGCTTTCAAAATGCTACTCCTTCTACAGTTTTGGTCCGATTTCAATATAACTTGGCACACAAGTAGACTACACTAGGATACATAATTCTGTGCATCGGTTTTTGATTTCGATGAACGGTGTTGCCATGGTTACTTAAAATAGAAATTTCTGTGAAATTCTTTCAAAATGCTACTCCTCCTACAGTTTTGGTCCGATTTCAATATAACTTTGCACACAAGTAGACTACACTAAGATACATAATTCTGTGCATCAGTTTTAATTTTGATGACTGACAAGGATCAATTTTCTATTTATTGCTGTTTTAAAGTTTCAAATTCCAACTGCTACTTTTTTCTTCCTTGTTTTAAGTATAAACCAGTAGAGCTACAGTCTCGACAGAGACTTCTGGTTTCTTGTTCACTTCACGAATCCGAAGTTTTTTCTTTACAAGCCTCCTCCGGTATCCCCCTTTTCTCAAAATTCTTTTCACGGTACTTTCTGACAGTCTACTAGCTCCATTTTCATTGGTAACATTCGTTAATTCTGTCAACGTCCTTCGACGATTATTTTTCACAAGTCGAATAAGTTGCCTTTCCCCTTGGACACTACACTTACACGGTCTGCCACTTCGATCCCTGTTTTCTGCATTTCCACGTCTTTGTTGTCGCTTTAAAAAACTGCATATTGTAGATATAGGTCTTCCTGTTATCTCTGATATTTCCTTTAACTTTATATCAGCTTTAGACAACGATAGAATACTTTCTTTCTCGGACGCACACAGTTCAAATCCTTTCCTACCCATTTGTTTTTAAAGCGGAAACAAAACATTTGCAGACGACAAAATACGTCATAACAAAGCCACGTGATCTGTCATGTTCTTGTGTATATTTGTACGTAGTAAGAGGGATAAATCTAATTTGTGCGTCAAGAACGACGCTGAAATGGGAAGCGAACCGCGGCAGTGAAAAAGTAGGCCATTTTTTACGAATACTTTTGACCCGAGACTGTACATGTATCAAATATTTGGCCCTACACCTTTTTTTCCATACATAACCTTTTAATGCGCCCGCATCGAAAGATCCGAGGCATATATTATTTTTGTTCTGTTTGTCTGCAAACTTTAACCTTTGCCATAACTTTTGAACCATGAATGAAAGAGACTTCATATTTGGTATGCTTACTCCACTAATTAAGCTCTTTCAAATGACACCAAGGTCAAGGACCTTGTGACCCTGACTGTGACCTACATGTATATGCCAAAAATATTTTTTCTGCAAACTTTAACCTTCGCCATAACTTTTGAAACATAAAAGATAGAGACTTTATATTTAGTATGCAAACACCACTGATAAAGCTCTTTCAAATGGCACTATGATCAATGACCTTGTGACCTTGACTGCGACCTATAGGCTAAATACAGCTTTTTTGTCTGCAAACGTTTACCTTCGCCATAATTTTTGAACGAAGAAAGATAGAGACTTAATTTTTGACATGCGTACTCCACTTATTAAGCCCTTTTACATGACGCAAAGGTCAATGACCTTGTGACCTTGACTGTGTCGTATATGCTAAAAATAGTTTTTTTGAACCTTCACCATTACTTTTGAACCATGAGAGATAGACTTCATATTTGGTATGCATACTTCACTAATCAAGTTCTTTCAAATGACAACAAGATTAATGACCTTGTGACCTTGACTGTGACCTATAAGCTAAAAATATGTTTTTAACTGTTGCCGCCGGGCGCATAGTGTTTCACAAACACATCTTGTTGTTAATGTAATTATAATGTAGAAAGTAGGTCTACAAAACAATTAATGAAAGGCATTGGAGTAGGACCTGATTCCCCCTACCAATCATACGTACATTTGTCTTTTTTTTCGATTGTCAAATTCTTTTCAGATAAGTGTAATCCCCACCACCACCACACTTCCAAATTCTATTCATGTCACTGCAATGTCAGCAATTTTCATGAATAAGAGGCTGAACATGATTAAATCAACTTGTTTTATTAAAAAGGGATTGAATGTGTATATAATATATATTTTTTATGATAAAATTTGCGTGTTTCAAGTGATTTAATCACAGGGACTTGCTCCCGGCGTGTAATAATTATTTATTTAAAAAAATCATATACCGTAATAATAAAACTATACAAGGGAGGACGCCATTTTGGACCCCTTCCTCGCTTCAACCTCTGTTTTCGTTATATTTTGCCATATTTTACTGACTCACCGCCACGGATCTTTCAAGAAATGATTATTCTAAGACCTTATGCTGAAATTTCCCCCTTGGAGCCTCTTCAATACACATTTCAGACTAAAAATAATCCAAACTCGCTCGATAGGACAGTTGGTATGGACAGAAAGTGAAAACACATTCGGTTACCTCGGGGTTTTTCCACTATTGAAAACAACTGCTAATTTAAACCGCGTTCTAATTCCGTATTCGAATGTAAAACGCCGAGGTTACTTTCGCTTTCTGTCCATACCAACTGTCCTATCGAGCGAATTTGGATTATTTTTAGTCTGAAATGTGTATTGAAGAGGCTCCAAGGGGGAAATTTCAGCAAAAGGTCTTAGAATAATCATTTCTTGACAGATCCGTGGCGGTGAGTCAGTAAAATATGGCAAAATATAACGAAAACAGAGGTTGAAGCGAGGAAGGGGTCCAAAATGGCGTCCTCCCTTGTGTAGTTTTATATTACGGTATATGATTTTTTCAATAAATAATTATTACACGCCGGAAGCAAGTCCCTGTGATTTAATCAAAAACGATATACACATGTATTCCGTTTTCCGTTCCGTTCCGCGTTTTAGCAACATCCCAGAGAGACGATCTTTTACGTGGCATGGGGTTGTCATCCTTGACACGGGACAGCATTTAACGTCCCGGAATTAAAATTTTAAAAATATGTAAACTGTTGAAAATATTGTAGAAACTGTTAAATGACAGAATTGTAGCGTTACAAATATACAAACCTTGAATGCCGTATGCCCCGGCCATTTTCATGGCTACTCCTGAAAAAGATGTAAATCCATGTGTTATATCTGGCTATCTTATCCCGTTTCCAAAGGTTTTAGAAGAAAGAAAATACATAATATTAAACATCTACATGTATCTATAACCACCTGTCCTCGAAGGTATTATAACTAAAATTCAAATTACTACTATAAATTATACTCCATATACTCCTAATTCATACTCCTACCAAAAATTGAGAGTAAAAAATTATGTTATACTCAAACAAAAAACATATATATCCATGTTTTTCAA